TCCAGTGGTGAAAAGTAGAATATTACAGGATGGAGATAAGCCAAGGGTGGTATTTCCACTTAGTTTTGCCGCATTTGAACACAAAGCCTGCATTGGCTTCTGTTTTCAGCGTATTGCATCCAAGGCAGATTCGATTTCCATAATCCCCTATTTCTTTGCAGCTGTAAAAATCCCATTTCAGACTTACAGTAATGTTATCGCTCAGTTACACCTGAATTCTATGGGATTTTATTCCAAAGTAAATTATTGTTTTTGCTACCTATTTGTATTATTGCAAAAAATATATGTTGTTTATCATGCTTTATTAAGTGTCAAAAGAAAAAGGTTGAGTATAATTGCCTTTTGCTAAGGAGTAACGTGTTGAATAATGTTCTTATTGGTACACAAACATCAGAGTGGACGATGTTAAAATCCTTGGTGTGCAACAAAGGCTGTGAACCGTCATGGCAAGGCAAGGGGTAACACAATGAGCTTTCAGCAGTGGTGGTGATGTGGCTGGAGCGGCAGCGGCAAAATGGGCGTAACAAATCTCGTGCTGTTATTCTAAAAAAGAATAGGCCAATGTCTGTCTCCGTTACGGTCCAAATTTGACAAATTACCCTCGAATTACTCAATTGGGTAAAACCACATGGCAACGATAGTCCCCTATGTTCAGACTGTACATGTCAGTGTAACAGTACCGTCATGGTCGCCTCCGTGCTGTGAGAATGGCACAGATACTAAATGTGCTAAATTTAATCATGTTAAAAGTAATGCACTGCACACAGCAAAGACAACACATGCTACATTTGTTTGTAACCCTGCTATACAGACGCTACACAAGTGATAAATCCCTTCTGGATCCAGACTTAAGACTCACCATGGAAAGTCCTGAGGCTTCACTTCCGTAACTTGTGCACTCGTCTGAAAACCAAAAATGGTCGTGTATTCATAGAATTTTTCCATTCTGGTGGCTGACAATAGCAGTGGAAAATGAGTGACTTCCAATCGCAGAGAGACCCAGGAAAGGCAAAATCTTTTTTATATATAGCAGAGAGAGTGTAGATAGAGGGAAATTGATGCATTTTTTTAGGGATTGCAGAGCGAAATTAAATCATTTGTGTATGAATTGAAGCGTTTACTGTCGGGCTTTTCCACTGCACCTTCCATATTCAGTGTCTTGTAGATTGGGGCATAATTACATTATTTTTCAGGAATGAAAGTGTGAATAGCCATTCTTTGTACGGTTCCGCCCAAGTTTGTCAGACTGCTGAGTGATGATGCTCTGCGTAAAAAAAAAATCCATAAATTATTTTTGGAGTGTGTGTTGTTGGATATGTTTGAAATAAATGAGTCGCAAATATTAATAGCAGCCATATATCATGTTTTTGCAAGGGTGAGTAATCATTGCTCTTTGAATTTGTGTATTTATAGGGCGCCACAGTGGTGAGATGCTATCTCACTCACCCGCGATGCAGGAGGGTCGTGGGTTCGATCCCGGACCCTTGACGGTGCCTGTCGGATATCTGGAGTTCGCGTGTTCTCACTCTCCATGAATTTTTCTCCAGGCCCTCTGGTTTTGGTCCTCTCCACATTTACAAACATGCTTTTAGATTATTTGGCCGCGACTATCGATTCCCACATGTGGTAATATAAACCACCTCGATAAGCTACAATGTGTGGCTAATGTCACCTCTGAAAAAAAAGTTGAACGCTGAGTGGGATTTAGCTAGTAAAAGAAAGTTGTTGCGTTTTAGTTGCTTTAACACGTGGAAAAACCACCCATTTTAAGCTGACCGCTGTGGAGGAGATGAGTTTGTGCAGGTTATTGAACAGCAGCAGACTGCATGGGATATTCATTACAGTGTACCTTATAAGAATGATAGTTGGTGGCATGTCCGCATGTTTTCAAACCTTGTAACAAAATCGGTTAAATTCAGCCTTTAAAAGCGTTCAATATCTCTAAGCGTTGGTGGAGTTAATTTATTAATTAAACACTATATTCTAAAATCCTTATGCATGGATGCGGCAGCACACTGAACGTTGACTTGAATCCAATGCTTTGGTTAACAGTTTTATGTTGGTAGCCGTCCACCTGATAATGTCCAAAACTTTGTCAAGATGCGGATTAAACCTTTGAGCTGTGACTTAAATATCTTGAGATAAATAAACAAAAAGTTACAATCAAACGAAAGCATGCAGAATGTAATTATAAGATATTCGTACATTTTCTGATTCCATATTGGCAAACTTTGTTAATTAAATTACCCCGCAGTTCAAGTGCGCAAATTGACTTACGCATCGCGTACGGTTCGGCAATTGACAACACAGCAACGATTTCCAAAGATATAATTGAAGCAAAGCCTGCCCCGTCACCCCTGTTAGCAAGGCCCCCATGTCCCTGCAGGGACCGATGCTTGGCTGGCCCCCAGTGCTCATCGACCCGTTCCTTGAACTACATGATCCTGAAGACGCTGCTACTACCTCCGGCGCCGCCAGGATCGCACAGAGCCCTCTATCTTGTCCCTCGCCCCTCTGTGAGCTCGGCACCGTCATGTTCCGAGCTTTCACGGCGTCCTCTCTGCGGCATGCCAGCGTGAGACGGTGTGAATGGGATGTCTGGCGGTGCGCAAAGACCCCCCCCCCCCAGCCACGAACGCATGCCTCATTGTGCTGCTGTTCCTTGAACCCCTGCCATGTGATGTTATTTCTTATTTAAAGTATCAGAATATTACTTATACTGGAGGAATCCCATGAGCTACAAAGCTCTTTTTCACGGATGTCTGGTCGGGGCAGGTCAGAATGATAAAACAACAATCCAAAAACACGCTTGTGGTGCACAGTTTCGGACAGGTAAACAAATCACTTAGAAAAAGTATACAAATATAACAAAACTTTTTTTCTTACCCGGTAAAGCCCACGGTGCCATTAGCTTTTTCAGAAACGACCTGGCCACAAATGATAGCTCAACAAAATTGCTTATCACGTGGAATTGTATCACAGCTAAAATACTCTAAATAATCTAAATGATTAGTAACTTCGGTCATTGGGAGAGATATGGTGGCCGGAGGTGGAGGGAGTGTGGAGTGGTGGGCAGTGAGGCAGTCACTCGTGCTGTGAATCAGACCGTTTTTTGTTTGCCAGGTTTTTTTTTTATTCTTGTTCATTCGTGATTGCGAGCTGGCTTAGCAGAGAGATGTGAAGGACATCCCGCCGTCGTCAGCTGCTGCCCCCGCCGCCACCGCCGCAGATGCATGCGTCATCGTGGCGATTCGAATCGCAAGGCAACAAAAATATACGCCCGCAAATGTGCGTGCAATTGGAGCGATTTGAAAGAGGCATTGCCAGCCAACGCAAATAATGACCAATACAGCAAGGTGCATTCAAATGACGCTTTGTATTAATAATGTAAATTTATAGTTTTGAATGCATTATTGTTGATATTGTTACTTTTCCTGTACCTCCGACGCGTTCTGATGTTACCCGGGCCCTCCTGCAGATCACTGTTGATGTTCTTGTTCTGTGCTGATTGTACCACGGGATCTCCCTTGCAAACTGGCTGGGGGTCACTGGCTACTCGGGATTTTCCATGTACGACATTGATTTGTTTATTCTATTTTAATTGTTCAAGGCTATTGTCATAAGCATCAGCAGACTAAACATTCTGCTATATAGTTTTGAGAATGTAATAAGCATTTTATGTTGTTTAACCTGCGGTTACTAAGCGGTGTTTGCCAATTCACACTTCTTTGCCTTTACACGCAAACACAAGTTGTTCATTACTTACGAACTCGATAATCATCGACTAATTGTCCTGTTTATTTCCTCGAGTTTTTAGAATTTATTTGAATCCCGGTTCTTCTTGTGGCATGGCAACAGGTTATAGTTTGCTCTCGTTCCTTGTTTTTTTTTCATTTTCTGGTTAAGTAAATTGCAGTCAGCAAATAACAATAGAAAAAATATTCACGTTGCGTAACGTTCACCCGCCCCATGTGATGAATATCATCGGTTTGTACCACTTGGGTGGGATGGGGGGAAGGAACCGGTTAAGGTGGTGGTCTGTTTTTCTCCGTTGGTCTTGCTGGTGATTCGGTTGATTGTGCTTGGGTTGCAAGGAGCGTTGGTCACATCATTTCTTTGAATTGTGTGCGTTGTGTTCGACCCGTTGCGTTGTTGCACCGCTGTTCCCGATCGAACTGAGCCCTACGCGGTGCGCTGTTTAGTTTTGAATTATTTTCTTGTTGTGAACGATGATGATGATGATAATTTTTCAACTCATGGTTGTTGCTCAATACTCAGTGCCGTGTTAGAAACTACCGTCTCACCGTTACCCCCTCATTGTCATTCCTTTGATAATGGCAAAAATTGATTTTGCCTCGTGGCTTTCAAAGCATCGATTTTAAAAAAATAATTGTTGGACGGACACAGTTGGAAAACACATTTTTTTTTTGAAGGCTGGATGGGGATCAAAATGATGAAATGAAGGGGTGAGGCAATGAAGGTCGGATTGCTACTGAATAATTTAATTTGATCATGAAAAGCAACAGGCCAATTTGCCTGAAGAGGAAAGTTTTAAATCGTTGACTGTAACACTGCTATGACAGGGATCGAAAACACGGGACGCTGACAGGTAATGGAACAGAGCCGAAAAGTACGCAAATAGATTTGCAGGCTCACAATTACTCTTAATAGATGGAGAGAGATGACCACAGATCAGAAAATCGAAACGTCACATTGACTTTCAAGAAACGTTTGTGGTCTTGGGAAAGACGCTTCATTCGAAGAGATGTTGACCATCGCGGAGATGGAGCGATGAGATCAGGTCATGTGCAGGGGCGACACGGATTGTGGATTTGCAGGGCGGTTAGTGATGTCGACGACATGAGGAGGGGGTCATCGGGCAGTGGATAGATCGTGTCGACCGTTGATGATGATGGTTTTTAAGCGCATGGTGTTGTCGAACAGATTTCGTAACTGCGACGCTCTCGTGTCTTCCCCCCTCCCGCCCCCGTGTGCCTCAGGTCGCTGATAGATTCTGGGGAGGGCGAGTCACTTCTCACCATGTCGCTGGCTAGCGAGCCTGGCGTCGTGAGCCGGGGCCAGGCCGGCAAGCCCCCCGGGGGCCCCGTGCCGTCGTGCCCTCCCAGCGGCACCAAGCTCTTCACCAGCACCGTCCACTGCACGGCCGTGCTCGAGGTAAAGCCGGAGAGAGCGGTGGTTCTCGGAGTGCGGTCCCCGGACCGCCGTCAGGGGTCCGCGATGCTCCTCCGGGTGGACCGCAGGGCTGTGATGCAAACGCAGCTTGATGCCGACAAGAATAAACAACGCTTTTACACCTTTTCGCTTTGGCCGTTAATTAATATTTTTTTTACTCGTGATATTTAATTTTAAAATGAAGTTAGGTAAATTACCCTGATTATAACTACGCTCACCCTAAAGTATGAATGCCCCCCCCCCCCCCCCCCGTAATTAAAACAAAACCTTGCTTGCGTAAAGAAACTAAATTCGATGCTGGTTTTGTGTCCAGTCATTTGTGACTCGGTGAAATTTGCTTTAGTCACGGGTGGCTGAATTCTAGATTTAAATCAATAATTCAGCAGTGTCACCGATTGCTCTTGACACCTTCAATTGACTGACGACCCACCCCACATTGTAACACTTACATTTTATTCTCGCGTTTTTCAGCAACAACACTAACAAAAAAGTCAGCATGTTTGACAAAGTAAAACACAGTAACATGGTTCAGCCAACAAATGTGCCTTAACCGTGTCCAAGCATGCAACATTCATGCCTTACTCCTTCCCGTCGGATTATCAGGCGTATAATTAACAATATCCAAAACACAGAGTAATCACTCTGTCATAGATTACACTATTTATCCAAAAAATAAAGGGAGAAAGCATGCCATGCAATGCCATATTGTTGTGGATTACATCGAATTAAAAGTGGCATTAGATAAATGAAGCGTGTATCAGAAAAATATATTACGTTCAAATTACAACAATTTGCAATTACAATACCCTTGAATTGTTAAATTATACATACGTCAACGTAAATTTTGCCTTGCATTTTTAATCGTTCTGCTAGAACTGTAGAGCTTTTTTTTGTGGAATGAAGAAACCCCCCCCCCCACTCCCCTTTAGATCAATCGCAACGTTGGAGTCGTGCTGCCGTTCCTGTAAACCCTTGTGACAATTCCACGTCAATTTGGGGACACGCACTAGAGATTCGTTGAAACGCTGCTTAACTGGCGGTAGCCACACCTGTGCTTGTGTTCGGCCGACTGCTTGCCACGCGGCGCTGCACGGAGCTAAGTTAATCGGTATATCACGTAATCAGTGATGGCTTTGCGTACACACACACTGGAGGATGATGTTGTATGTCGCAACCTGCATTCAGTCTGCTTGTCACGCGGTCTAACACGGGGGGGGGGGGGGGGGGGGGGCTAACCTGCAGGCTTCCCGGTTTAACAGATGTTTACTTTGTTTAAAAGGGACGAAATACGCAGTGCAGCTTGAAAAACGAGGCTTAGGGTGCAGCGGAGGAGGAGGTCGGTGATACTTGACCCGACATCGCAAGTCCACAGGAAGTCGCAGTCCGGCTGTATGCGACGACAGATGTAACGATCCTGGTCTTTAGAAGTATCGCCTTGTTAAAAAAAATACACTTGACTTGACACTCCCATTTACACATTGTACATTTTATTTTACAGGGTATCCATAATGGTATCGACAAGTATTGAAGAGTAGTTATTAGGTAGCAGTTTCAAATACACGGTTGAATGTTGCTTATGGGAGCCATGTTGGCGAGACGTTATCTCACTCGCCTGCTATGCAGGAGGTCGTGGGTTTGATCCTGACTGATGCCTGTATATTTGAAATTTGCCTGTTCTTTTTAATGAAGAATGCATTAAATTACATCGTAGTTGAAGTGATTCTCTACTTATGGTGAAGGATGTGACCAAATGTCCGTGACCAGGAGGAATACACCGTGCACTCCAAAAGCTGTGATATTATTTGGCGAGCATTTCTAGAGACGAACTTAACACTCGCTGAAAATGATAGGTTGCCCACTTTCCTTGAAACATTTCTTGTTTTGGTTACACTGGACGGGAGTGCATTCCATAGCTTTGGTGCAACCACCGAAAATGTGCCCGCTCTGCAATTGTGCCGTCGGTCCGACGCTGCTGCATTGTTAATAGAGGCATGCGTTGGAGCGAAGACAATCTGTGGCAGGGTCAGCAAGATTCTTTGTGTTGCATTATCACAATGTCAAGATAACTTGCGCTGTTGAACCTTGGTGATAGAGGGCAGAACACTTGGCTCCCACATTGCTTTGGCCACTTGGAAAACGAGTCGTTGGTAGCAATTGACTTTTAAATACAGCTTAACCGAAGCAGTGCCACATTTTCTGCTTAAACGTTGCAACTGGAGGTTAATACACATGTTAATTGGCGCAATTATCCTCAACGCAATGTAAATTGCACTAAATTGGCAGTGTTTAACCCGAAACATCGCAGTGAAAAGCAATGCAGCACAGCGCATTTACGTGCAGTGTGCCGCAAACCCAACAGCGCAATTCATGGCACGAGCAGCTTTGTTTCAGTGATCTCAATGCAGATGCGCAAATTTGTGGCAATTGCTTTGCACTTGACTATTCATAGACGACCTCTGTGCATAAATGAGCTATTCATGCGGTCCTCCAATTTTGGTGCAGCTGCCTTTGTGACTGCTCGCTATGTGCGTACGTACGTACGTACAAACGTTGAACTTTTCCGCGCCGTACGTAGCCAACCGTGCTAATCGGTGGTGCAATGTCCAACAGTATCACAGCTGGCAGTGTGTTCCCATTTGACGATGTTTCTTTGTGCTTTGGGTGAATTCTCGTCCACCGATCGTTTGCTAATGTTCAGCATTAATTAAGGGCCCAGAGGCACCGTGATAATAATGAACATTCGACTTGCACACTTGTTCAAATCCTTACGCATTGCTTGCGAATGGTTGGCCCCCCAACCCCCCCCCCCCCAAGTGTAAAAATAAAAGGAAGGCAAACCTGAGCTTCGAGCATTGTGACTTGTCCCCCTGTTGACGTCTGTGTTTTGTTTGAGGCGTGTGTGCTTTCACACGGCAGTCAAGTGCACTTCGGAGCATAAATTGTTCATGTTTACCGTCTGTTGCTTTCCTTTGTTCTCCAATAGGGGTTTGAGCGTTTGAGGCAGGACGGTCTGCTGTGTGACGTGTCGCTTCTGCCGGGAGACGGGGAGGAAAGTTTCCCCGTGCACCGTGCCATGATGGCCTCATCCAGCGATTACTTCAAAGCCATGTTCACCGGTAAAGCAACCTTTCAGCTTCCGACCCGCGCAGCAAAACACTCAAAAACACAATTGCGTTGTATTTTTTATGGTGTTGTTTTTGTTGTTGTTGCGTAAAGTGTGAAACTAACCTCGGCGAAAAGTTTGGTAAAAAAAATACTGATTTGCGCGTTTGGAGACTCATTTTAAGGAACTTGTATTTAGCTGATTGCGTGGTGGAGTGTTTATTTGTATGGTTGACGATACCGAAATGCAATACGTTGCAATCGTTGTCCACGGAATCCCACTGTCGTAGTGCTAGATTGCAAACAAACACAGTCGTGGATCCTCATGACATTATTTTTTGCGTGATTAATTTTTACGGCGGTAAGTGAATCAAGGCCACCCAGTGTGTTGTGGCATTAAGGCTGAGGGTGCTGTGTTTTCAAAAAAAACAATCAACGGAGTCTCGCAGGTTACAGCTCTTGCCTCATCAGTCCACTTTTGAAAATAAAAGTTGTTTGCCATTCTAACGATATCGAATAAGATCTTGGTTTGCTTCATCAAGTAATGCTCAAATCATGTTTTGGTTATGAAAAAGTTATAGAGTGCAAATGTTTCATATCATGTTACACTCTTATGTAACGGTCTTGCAACAACATAGGACAGAATTAACAAAAATAACGCTGCCTTAAAAAAAATAATTTTTTTCCAACAGGTAAAGTTTTGGGGAATGCTTCCCCGAGCAAATGCAAAGAGGGGCCAGAGTGATGGTTAATGAGGGTTGGAGACCGCACTTAACACTGGGGCCTGATGAAAGAAAATCTATGGCCAGTTTTTTAATTGACATGTGGATAGTTATTTAATAATAGCCTCTGAGTAACATACCAACCCTTCCACTAATCAAAACGTATTACTGAAATGAATTCGTATTAAACTGCAATAGCAACTTGCAGCATAGAAATGACTTGGGCATACAGTATGCACTCTTGAGTGAAAGGCCTTTTCCATTCATACTGGAGAAGAAACGTCATCCCAATGCACCCCGAATCATTAATTAACCACTTCCTCTCTCCTCTGCCTTTGAACCACCGTCAAAACTGTCACCCCTGTGGCACCTCTCGCCTTGCCATCCTCCCTTGTTTCATTACCCACGTTCATCTTTGACCGTACCCCGCTTGCCACCTCTGTAAACCGTATTGCCTTGCCCTCCCTTTTGCCCTCCACCACCACCACCGTGTCACGCTCCTTCGCCCCCCTCTGACCCAACCCCCGTCGGCCATCGCGTCGCCCCCCCCCCACCCCACGCAGGCGGCATGAAAGAGCAGGACCTGACTCAGATTAAGCTGCACGGGGTGAGCGGCATGGGGCTTCGTCAGATCATCGACTTTGTGTACACGGCCAAGCTGTCGCTCAGCATGGAGAGCCTGCACGAGACGCTCGAGGCAGCAAGTTTCTTGCAGGTGCTGCCCGTGCTCGACTTCTGCACGGAGTTCCTCATCTCGGAGGTGAGCAAAGCTGCACACGGAAACGACAACAACAACAACAACCTCCTCAATACCTCGCTGATCTCGTCAAGGGGCGTGAACCACCATCACGCGAACCCGGTCCTTTGCTACTAAGTGGCGGTGACGTCACCACGGTGCTTGTGCCAGGCAAAGTGTGCTTTGAGGCCACGTGAAGTGTAGAAGGCTTGCTTTCAGGAGGTCATGGAACAGACCCAGGTGTTATGGGTTTACTGACCGAGTTGTCTGACGGACAAGTACAAAAAAGAACCCTATAAAGGCCGGCACTTCTCACGAGAGGGTGGTGTGGCTATAGAACCACGCCTGGCTGCCTTACACAACCGTACCAGGCACTGTTTTAAGGCTTAGTCAATCTAGGAGAGGCCCTGGACCAGTTCATATATTCGCCACTGTTATTGCTCGTGAGCGGGAATTGAACTCGGATTGCCGGCATTGTGGTGCATGGCACTAACTACTACAGTACAGCTCCCTTTGGGGACACACATGCAATTGCACGCGAGCTGACCGGCAGCCAGATATTGCATGTTACCAACCCTCTGTTATCTGGGGTCAGTGGGTTAAGGATAGACGACCGTTCATTCGTAGGTCGAATGTGGCGGGGCGAATACTTGCACCTCTTCCTAGACATCTAGCCAGCGTGGAAGTGTAGACCAAAATACTCTTTAGAGGCTGTTGTCTACAGGCCCTTCTGCCCAGCAGTGGCTTAAGCATTTATTGGCGGGCTGCACCAGGATGATCTGGACGTCTGTGGACTACCGTAAAAGAGTTGTGGTCAAAGTGTCCCCCGTAATGAATCAGAATCAGAATATTTATTTACACTGGAGGAATCTGATGAGCTATAAAGCTCTTTTTCACAGATGTCCAGTAGGGACGGGTCCGAACGTTACAACAACGAGCAATACAAAAAGCACAATAGGTGTGCAAAGTATGGGAAAGGAAAAAAAAATAATATGCAAATAAAACTAAACTATGTTTATCTTACCAGATAAAGCCCAATGAGCTATTAGTTTTTTTAAGTCACCTGGCCGCAAATGATAGCTCAGCGAAGTGGCTTATCACCTGGATATATATAGCAACAAAATAAAAAAAAACAATGAAAACTCGGTCGGAAAACAAGAAATGAATGCAAACGATTGCAGGGCCTCACCTTTACCCACGCCCCCCCTTTTCCCCTTTATCCACGTTCCACGCGGCGCTCGCCCAGACGACGCTGGAGAACTGCGTGGAGGTGGGCCGCATCGCCAACACGTACCACCTGGCGGCCGTCGACCGTTTCGTCGACGGCTTCATCCTGCGCAACTTCGGCGCGCTGTCGCAGACGGCCGGCTTCCTGCGGCTGCCGGCTGAGCGGCTGGAGCGCGCCCTCGCCAGCGACTCGCTCAAGCGCTGCACCGAGCTGCAGCTCTTCCGCGCCACCTGCCGCTGGCTGCGGCACAGCGAAGCGGCCGACACTGGCGACGCGACGGTGGTGCCAGCGGGAAGCAGCGGCGCTGGCGCTGCCGGCGGTGCCGGAGGCGGCAGTGGCGGCAGCGGTAGCGGCGGCGGCAGCGGCGGCAGCAGCGGCGGCAGCAGCAGCAGCGGCGCGTTCGGGGTGGGCAGTGCCACGGGCAGCCTGGCCCGGCACAGGGCATCGAGCAGCGACACCCTACCCAGGCAGAAGACTGATGTAGACTCATCATCCGTGGGTTATTTGTATTTTTCGTTTATTTATGTTTTGAATTGGTTATTTGTTACTTTCGTTAACGCTATGTAAATGTATTCGCGTGCCTAATGTTGGTTTTGTTTGACTCGCTCACATCCTCTGTGTGAGAGCACTCGACTCAATCAAATCTTGGTTGGGGGTGGACTCAATTCTTCCTTCCTCCGGGTGAGAATTTAAGAGACCACGATAAGTCTCATTTGCAGGAATTACCTGGGGGAATTTATTTCGCCAGTTAGGGATAGATATATGATTGCTGCTGTGCATAATCTCAATAGAGTTATTTGCGGTGTCATTTCCGAATTTGGTGAATTTGGATCCTGACACTGGCACACAGTTGTGAACTACTCTTTCCGAATGACATCTGGGGATCTGTAATGTCCACTGTAAAACAGGACGGCACCTATTATATGGGTATTGCATGCACAGAAATTGGTCGGTAAAATCTGTGATCAATAAAGTGAGGAATTCTTTGCAGGATCTTGGTCGGAAATCAATTGTCATCCTATAGAGAGACTCTTTTTGTAGAAAAGTATCATTTAATTTGTGTTGAACTCTTGACGTGCATAAAGTTGGTACTTTCAATATCTTACGTTTGAGGAATGACGCACCATTTGAGCGTGTACATATCCACACATTGCCATATAAATCATATAAACTTGAGAGCTCACTCGGCTGACTGTCCATCAGCGGAAATTAGTGCAATAGTGGCACCAAACCGGTCGCAATTGGTTTGTTAGCTTTGTGGGACAATGTTCCCTGTAATTGTCGGAATGCTGAGAGTGGAGGTACATGACAGTGGGCCAATTTTGTAATGCCGCAAAATTATCGCGCGCTTTCAGATGCGCTTCTGCGTCCGTCTGGAGCGACCTTCCTTCCGATGTCAGGAAGCCACTGGAGTTACGCACTTTTCAATCATCTAGATTGGAAACGAATTTCTTTAGAACTGCTTTTTCGTGTTTTATTTGTTGTCCTTCACCTCGCACCTCTGATTAGCACGGTTGACGTTCAACATACATACATTATTCTCGATACATACGAATGCATTTGCCCCCCCTCCCCCGCCCCCCCCACGGGCGTGTTCCCCTTCTGCTCGTTCGTCCCCTTGCAGGCCGCTCATCCGTTCGTGCGTTTGTGTGTGTCCGCGTGCGGCTATCCGCGTGCTCCTGCTCGTCTGGTTTGATTCCGTGCAGACGATGTCGCGCTGCAAGGGGGATGGGGAGCCGCACGGAAGCCGCATGCGACAGGCCGCCCGTCTCATGTCCCGCATCCGCTTTCCGCTCATGTCCCCGCAGGAGCTGCTGCACGAAGTCCAAACGGTCAGTGCCACGCCGCGTCGCTCCCCTGCCGTTCCTCTTGCACCGTCACAGATTTGTTGGCGGAGAGCCCGACTCTTGACCACGTTTGCAATGTCAGGCGTAACGTGCGCGCTAAATCCTGTCCGTTTATGTATCCGTCTGCTTTTATTGCCCCTTTTCATATCCCTTTTATAACCTTTTATCAGAATCTGTATTAAATTTTGATTTAAAGCTTCTACGTGACTTTGCCGAAAGAACCAAGAATACGAACCCGCGTTATTTCGACTGGAGGAACCCGATACGCCGTGAAGCTCTTTTTCACAGACGGCCAGTATTTAAATGCTCACTCGCGCTGTCCCAAGTCGTGGCCGAGACGAACGCGTACGTTTTTCGTAAAATCCCGCGATGCCCAGCGCACGACGATTGAGCAGAAAGCGGCCGTCCCCCGGAAGACGCCGCTGCATTGCGACTCCCGTAGCTTACCCCCCGTGGAGCGACGCCGGCTTCTTCACTGCCCACGAGGGGACATCTGTTATGTGGCCCTGCGAAGAGCACGTGCCGCCGAGCAATCGGCGCGACACTTCTCCTTCTCGGAACTGGAATAAGCTTAATTCCGTGAAGATGAAGAGGAGAAGAAATGTAATCTAATGGCAACTTGGTTTAATCAGCGGTGCCTGGCTCGGAGGCAACCGCCAGATGTAAGCGGTGCCGACCCCCAGGGCTCTGAGCCACCCGATCTGTGACACGTCCTCATTATTTAATGCGTTTCTCGTTGCCAGTGTGCTGGTTATTGCAGTGAAATTGCAGAGATTAAAATTAAAAAAAGCCACCTTGAAATGATTAAAAAAAAAGTACATGCTGAGCTGAGGAAATGTCATTTTTTTTTGCTTTTGCCACGCAGCATTTTTCTTGTTGCAGAGTCAGCGCTGAAGTTTTGACGGATCAGTCTTTGCTGAAGTAGCCGCGTTGTTTTTCTTTAAGAGAAAACCTTCCCCCGTTTCTCCCCCGGGTGTCATAATGTCTGTTGAGACCAATTACCCAACTTGGAATACTGTAATACATGTTTACACCAAGCTTAATTATACTGGAAAGTGGAACGTGTTTCATAAATTTTCATTCCATATCACCCAAAATGTGGCTATACAAGCCTGTGGGGGGTATGCTTGATCGTTGTGCAAAGCTCTCTTGTAAAAGCTGTTAGAGCTAGTACAAAGCACACCGATGACACCTGGGTGAATTTACACTGACAACTCTGGCCGATCCCATTCATCCTCATCATTAACGAATTCTCTGCTGCGGTCGTCTTTGTTCGTGGACAGCTCGGATATCTTGCCACTGAGAACCAGAGTATTCAATATAGGTACACACCGAGAATGGTAGGGATTTTATCGCAGGGTAGGGTAGGAAACAAACAATGAAAATATTGTCCGTGTAACCTGGAAGAGGAGGTTGCCATGGTGGATTACATGTGCGGGATGGAGGAGGGCAGGTTTCCAAGACAGGCTTGGGAGTTGCATGCAGAGGCCTGGTGGCCAAAGGGAAGGCCCGAAGCCAGATTATGTGATTCTGTAAGATCAGACTTTGGGAGGACGACGGGTGTCGACTCTTCAACAGTCGATGGTGTGGCCACGGCGGGAATACATTTTATGGCCGTGCTGACCTTTCGACCCCCCCCTCCTCCCCTTCCCGAACCCAACTGCTCCGCGGGCAGGTGGAGTTCATGCGCTCGGACGCCGCCTGCGTCAACTTGCTTCTGGAGGCCAGCAACTACCAGATGCTGCCGCCCATGCAGCCGGTGCTGCAGTCGGAGCGTACGCGCATCCGCTCGGACGCCACGCACCTGCTGGCGCTGGGCGGGGTGCTGCGCCAGCAGCTGCTCGTGTCCAAGGAGCTGCGCTTGTACGACGAGCGCACGCGGCTCTGGCGCTGCCTGGCGCCCATGGAGGCGCCGCGGTATCAGCACGGCATCGCCGTGGTGGGCAACTTCCTCTTTGTCGTCGGCGGGCAGAGCAACTACGACACGAAGGTGAGTGCCTGCCTGCCTGCCCGCCCGCCTGCCTGCAGTGTGACGGCTGCAAAGGACAAAGGGGGGGGGGGGGGGGGCCCTTTTATCAGGAAGCTCCTTTGCTGTTGCACGTCTACTTTCTACTTTTTTTCCCTTAATCTATTTTGTCTTTGATTTTCTATTTTTTAACCTTTTTTTGTTGTTGTTCTTCCCCCCCCCCCCGTGGGCAAAGAGAAGGCTCGCTCACGCTGTCCCCTACAATGCGGGTGTCTTCTTTGCGTGTTGGGGTAGGATATCTGCCCAGTTGCAAAAAAAAAAATACAACTTGTGCTTACAAGTTGTCTTGTGTATCTTGTTCAGTGTAACGTGTCCATTAGTGTCTCATTACAGTGATTTGCTTTGGCTTCTGATTATCTCCGAGCCTTTGGAGATTCCTTTGAATGCCAAGATAATTTTTTTCTTCCACGGCGTGAGTCATTCATTGACTCAAGCGGATCAGCTGTGCCAGTATTTGTACAGCGGTCGAGTTGGTCTGCTCTTGAGCCTGTAACGCCTTCAAAATATTCCGAGTTTACTTTGATGGCTTCGTTGTTTCGGAATGGGACGTCGGGATTGGTAGCAACAATCGACAAAAGCACTCTCGATGACACAGTTTTTAGATGCCTTCATTTGAGCCGTAATTCATCTCGCGCATATGTAGCAATAATGCACCGTGATATATTTTGCTGGTTGCGGTCATTGGTGGCAGCTGCCGTGAATGTCTTTACGCTGCGCGCTTTTGTGGCCAGGGCAAGACGGCGGTGGACACGGTCTTCCGGTACGACCCGCGCTACAACCGCTGGGCGCAGGTGGCTCCGCTCAACGAGAAGCGCACCTTCTTCCACCTGAGCGCACTCAACGGGCGCTTGTACGCCGTGGGCGGCCGCAACGCCGCCGGTGAACTGGGTACGGAGCCGCGTGCCGGCACGTGCACGCAAAGACAAAGATTCTCCCCCCGTGTAGCCTTCGATAGACTGTTGGGGCAAGTGCTCTAGGGGAGCACTTTAAAGGGCGACACTGCACATGAGGCCGTGGTGTGATCTTGGATGAAAAAGCGCTTTATAGCTCATCGGATTCCTCGAGTATAAATGAAGAATCTGATTCCGAGTTTCCGGTGCGGAATGCACACGTCCGCACTCGGGGAAACAAACACGCTCGCGCATGATGCGGAGCACACCGCCACTCGTGTGCCGGCCTGCATGGGTGCTCGCTAACAGCACTGGCCTCGACGGTGCACGGAGCCCAACTAAACAAAGGATCTTTGTAAATGTCGAGCTCCAAAACATGGGTCAGGAACGTGCGAGAGTTCAGAATTGTTTGTTCAGCAGCAGTGAACGATTTACAATTGCAGTATGTATTTACGGGACGCCTAACTGCGACCGCGTCTCGCGTTGCTGCAACGCAACGCAGTCCAGACTCGCGCTGCAGCGACTCGTTGCAACTCGCATCCCGAGGACGCATCTGCCGCCGAGTTTGCGACTTCCCCCTCCGTGTGAGCGCGCATCACGGTCGTCCGCGTGCGCGTTTTGGCATGCAGCGACGGTGGAGTGCTATGACCCGAGCAGTAACGAGTGGACGTACGTGGCACGCATGGCTGAGCCCCACTACGGCCACGCCGGCACCGTCTACGGCAACCTCATGTACATCTCCGGTAAGCGACGCCACGCGTGCCGGGGCCAGCCACCGCCGGTCGCACCGGGCGGGATGGGAGACGGACAGAGGGGATATTTTCTGCCGCCCACTGGCGATAAGCCCAAAGCCAGAGCTTGAACACACCACAGACCTGTCGAGTGGGCGGATGCTGAGCACCGGCAACGCTTGTGGGGGGAGTACCTTGTGGGTGGAGGAAGCCGAGAGGCCAGCCGCAAGGGAGAGATCCCTATGAAGGGAGTTCACTTCGAGGGCTTTACCAGGCGTGGACCCCGAGAATGGTGAATCGCTTGTGGGGGCTTAGGGGCAGGAGGGACCCCGAGGAAGAGGGCTCACTTGGGGACCTGTGTCCGGCAGGGGTCTCCTTGGAAGGGAACTTGATTTTTGGGGCTTAAATCGGGCAATTGAAGGTGGACCTGGCGTGGTACTGGCCACACCTCCACCTTGCATGCCACACGAGCCTCAATAAATATAACCTGTGGGTGAAGGAGCACCCGTGCGTTGTGAGTTGTGGGAGTTATTTAACCATGCTTCACCACTCTGGTCGGTGCGGGTTTCTAAAAGCGGCGGGGGACCAGGGACTGGTTCAGACATCACTCGCCACCGATGTGAGCCGTGAACAGGAATCAAACTGGGGTCTCCGGGCTCGTAACGCAGCTCCTTGAACACTGCACATCGCTCCACACCACCAGAATGAATAGCGCTCCCTAAAACGTCTCCCGCCAATGTCAATGCAACTCATTCAATAATTTAATACTCTCCTGATGTGCTTTGCCCAACAGAGCCGTTGCGATGTCCTCACTACATTTAATGACGCATTAGCCGAGGTGCTGTTACCAATCGCGAAACTGTGGACCATGGAGTACGCACTGCCCACTTTGATCATTCGCCAGCAGCGTTTGGGACATTTACGAGGCTACTTCTGCAGCCGGGTCCCACTGGCTCACTCGCCAGCCTCGACGTGAACGTGTAGAAATGCTGCCGGTCAAATCCCCACCAAGCAAAAGGAGAATAGACATGAGAGGGTCATCAGTGGGGACCCTTTTGAATCGTTCTTGATGTGACCCTCCCCCATTATGCAATCTCTTCCATCCGCTTTTGTTTCTTTATTTCGTTTCTCCTATTTCTGCTTTTGTCCTATTCCTTTCCCTCTCGCTCTCACTCTTGCCTACTCCTGAGATCATAGCCGGGGAATCTTTACGACTATGCGCATTTGCGTTGGTCACTTGGAAGACGTGTACCTCGGGGATAACTATGTTGCCCATAGGGTCCCGCGCGGCTGGACCGGACGTCCGTGTGTTTGCGTCCTCCCATTGTTCACGCGCCCACCACCCGCCCACTCGACTTCCCTTCCCCCCCCCCACCATCCGCACGCGCCGCCCCGCGTCCCGCAGGCGGCATCACGCACGACACCTTCCAGAAGGAGCTGCTGTGCTACGACCCGGAGTCGGACCGCTGGACGCAGCGCGCGCCCATGTCGACGGTGCGCGGCCTGCACTGCATGTGCACCGTGCGCGACCGCCTCTACGTCATCGGGGGCAACCACTTCCGCGGCGCCAGCGACTACGCCGACGTGCTCTCCTGCGAGTTCTACTCGCCGGCGGCCGACAACTGGACGTCGGCCGCCCCCATGCTGCGCGGCCAGAGCGACGTGGGAGTGGCCGTCTTCCAGGTGACTCGGTGGGGGGCGGGGAAACTCGTAGGGGAGTGCGACGTTCGCGGCTCCCTATTTGGCGCGGTTTTTGCTACGTGCGGCGTGCGGAAGGAGGAGTCGAACGTGTGCGCGCGTTCACACGCATCCTTCGCGCTCGATCGACCAATCGTTTATTTTCACGTGCCAATGCCGGATGCAGGAGGCGTCCGTGCCCCGACATGTTTGTGTCTCTCTGTCACGGCTCGCTGACTTGACGGTCTGTCTGGGAAGGGTGTGCTCTGCTATTGCTGACCCGTCGCTAGCTTTTTCATCGGTTCACCCTGTTGTGAACTCGATCAATCAGTCAATCTTTACTTTACATGCCAATATCGCCCTCAATAAAGTAGGCATCAGTGCACATTACAGTGGAACGGGAGCGGTTACAGGGGGCATGGAGCAACGGGAATGAAAAATAAAACCCATCACGACCTCAGCGGCGAACGCCAACCGAGCAGAGTAAATTGCAACCGTGCGCAAAATAACGCGCAACCTTTAAAACTGATTGGCTTACACCAGAGACGGCCTTCTTTCTATGGTCTTTGACTCCGGTGTAGGCCAATCAGTTCAAAAGACAATGCAGAGCATGTTTGTTTGCATGTTTTTTGCCACAAGTACTGTGTGGTTAATGCAGACTTGACGCGTTGCAGTTGCTGTGTCGTTGGTGTTTAAACGTCCTGAACACAGCTCTTGCTTTGTTGCCGGAAAGTGCAACCGTTCCCCCACATGGCGGTTCCCCCGTACGCTGTACCTTCCCCTGCTTTGCGGTTTTCTCTTAAATGAAATATTTCTGGTTAAGGGGGTGATGCTTGCAAACACTCTGGACCAACAACAGACAATAGTCAGCCCCATTGCTTGTTCGAGCTGTGGGACAAGCTGTGACTTCGAGTGTTCGTAAAGATGCAGGTCTGAGAATAGCGTCGGTCTTATTTGTTTGTTGTTTGCGGTGTGCGAATATTTCACGTAAATACGTGAAGTGGTGAGCTCATTCGAATTGTGGGTCCGCGCATGATACGCACACACGCGTGCGGGATGTTTTGGCTGGGGAGCACTGCTGTGCCACTCGCGAGACTAAAACTTTCGTGTTTTTTTTTGGGGGGGGGTTTGTCGTTGCAAGCATCTACAGAGCTCTCCATTTTTGTTACGTTAGCATCGCCCCGCAGGGTCACGAACGCTACGTTTTACATACGTTTAAATTACAATTTATCTTTCTGTTTAAATGCATGCCACGTTAATTACAAACCAGTGCTTTTAGCCTCGGGGTCATTTTAGCACTTGAAAATTCTGCTTGTATCTAAAGTGTTATGACTTCCATGTTTTACTTACACAGTTAATACAACTTTCATGTTTTACTTCCTCAGTTCATAAAACTGACCATGTATGGATTTGAATCAACGACGTCGATTTAGCCTCGATGACGGTAGTAGTTGTGTTTAAGGTAGCACAAGACATTGAAATTCCTCGAAGACACTAGAGATGTAACCCTCAACCGCACCAGAACATCAACGGACTGATGCGCACATCTTCCTCATTGATTCATGGAAAATGTAAGGCAAGCCGCAGTGCGACTTTGGGCATGCAACCCAAAGTATGGAACGTATAGTAAGTAAACCACTGTAGTCTGCACTCTTTCAACAAAGGAGTAGCGAAGCTACACGAACTCCCTCCAGAAATACTCTCGTTGCGAGCAAACCTCGACTTTGCCATTTAGCTCCTGAAAATAATGTCACGTGCAAGAATAGAACAAGAATAGAACAGTTCATAAAACGTATTTACTGTGCATAACCTGCACTGACTAACTAGTCCACTGACCTAGTCCTGACATTTCATTTGTCGGTACCAACCAAGTTGGCATTACTTTTATGGTTCCAATTTCTTTCCATGGCCAACACCAATGAAGTATTATTGATAACCATTTGAAATGAGTGGGATTATCAAGTAATTAAATCGTATTTTTTTATGTAAATAAATCGGGTACGGCTACAGTTGTTTATGTTTTACATTAAGTGGTATCAATGTCTGCTCTGGCCCATGGACTAAACCATCGAAGAATATCTCCCTGGTGCGGTGTAATACGCAGCAGTGTATGCTCACAAAACTGCCAGTTTATCGCAATGTCAATGAATTCGTGTTAATGTTCAGTCCTTTGTTTTGTTGTTTTTTTGTCTGCCAATATCACAAGCGCCCACAGAAAAAAAGAGTGAAATGACCTTTAAGATTTGTTTTTGTGTTAAAAATGTTCCCGCAGGGAGAGATACTGACAAAATCGGTCAGATGACATGTCAGTATGTATGTTCCGATCTCCTTCATGCCCACGTTATCTCCGTGAAGAAGATTCATATCAAATGCCAGCCCCTTTTTCGGCAATCCCTCGCAGTCAAGGATGATTGCCGCCATTGTTGTTTCAAAGTGACCTTAAACCTCGAATTAAAACCTAAAAACATTTTTTAATTGCCCGCATGCTTAGTTTATTTTGTTGTACAATACTTAAGTAAAATAAAGGGGGGAGGGGATGGGGGGGAGATTCTGCCACGTGACAACGGCCCCAGGAAGCAAGCGTTGAGAGTGAACAACTCGACCAGGCTAACACACAAGAACTTGCATGTACACACTACTTATACCACTACTACTACTACTGATGACGATGAGCTTAAATAAAACAAAGAAAACAAAAGCCTTTACAACCTACCTGTCCACTTGCAGGTTGCCCAAGTCATACCAGACCACATTTATGAATATTGCAATTCAATATAAATGACAGGCTCTATGGAACAGACAAACTATAGCGACTTATCGACGATCCTACGAGATTAATAGCTCAGCTTATTGAAGAATATATTAAGTACATTTATTATATTGATGTAATATAGATTTAGTTTTTTCACATCGGTTTACTTTATGATAGTTGGTAGTTGGAGGCCTTTAGCGTCCATATACTAAATGCCTCTGTTGATGTGTAAACTTTGACTTTAGCACAGCTATTTCTGTCACAAGCTAATCCCTCAGCTATTTCAATGCTAAATTCTCCTGCTTTGATAGGTAAACTCCTTTGTCAAGGCTCTCCACGCCTCTCACCGAGCTTAAAAGACGCTACGAATCTTAACAGCGTTCATTCAAGCTCTGTCGTCCCGACAGTTCTGTTCTTTCACCTGAAGAAGGCCACTTGTGTTGTGGCCGAAAGGTCGTGAGAATTTTATTGTCTTATTTTATTATTTTATTCTCCTACGTGGTGACTTTACCGAAAGAACCAAAGAAGATGGATCCTACGAGAGTAGCGGGAGAAACATCCCAAACTCCCCCGGCAGCTGCCTTATAATAAAATCTTTCTGGATAGGACAATTATCTTCGCGTCAGGCGAGACTTGTCCAGCCCACAGCATCGTCAGCACCTTGACTTCTAACACCATTGCCCTGCCAGCGCACCTCTATTTGCTCAGTCGGGAGATTGCCCCCTTCCCTGCTCTACTGCGTCCATTTCCAGTGCACAATTTGGTCCTGTCTGTTGCCCCCCCCCCCCAGCCGGCCCGCCCACCCCCTTCTGAGCCGAGTACAATCACACAGAGGGGACAGATTAGAGTCCGCACTTGTCCTTGAGACCACACTCAACGGAGCTGGTTCAGCGCTCTGACGGGGCTCTCATTCGCGATGGCCGTCCGGCCACCGAGGTTTAATGTTGACTTCTAACTGCATCGGTGTGCGGTGTGTTTTTCAAATCCCGCTTTTCTCACCCACCGAAGATGATTTTTTTTTTATTTGAACGTTAAAAATCGTCGCTCGTCGCACTCAATTAGCGACTCCAGAAACATTGGACGATATGTTGCCGCAAAGAACCACATGCTTGAATAAAATGATGAATTATGCATATTTGTGGTTCAAGATAAAAGTTATAATTCTTTATCTAGGAGGTGAATTTTTTAATCTATTTTTCATTTTAATTCGTTAAATTTGCATTCAGCTTATTTTCGTCCAAATTTAAGTATCACTTGCTTTTTAAAGCTGAGAAGGTGAGTGATGTTGAAATATTATGAATAATAATATTATGAATAATTATAACACGAAATTGTCTTTCGTGGGACTGGAGAGACATTTCTTGCGAGAATAAATTTACCATTGGTGCCTGGAAGCCAAGTAATAGTTTAATAAAATTGTCAAATACAAGTTGAAGTCTAGGGTTTCGCACCTATAAATATCAAGTTAATCTTCTGCATATTTTGTTGGGTGTCTGTTTACAAAAAAATACTTCGTTATATTTTCTCTATTGTTTATCTTCTATCAGTCTTGCTGTAGGCCATGTTGACTTAACAGCCCAATCATATATCATTCCTGTCTGTTTACAGGTTCATGTCGTAAATTCTACTGGACTGATTTACAGATTTCTGTTCATGAGTTGTTCCCAAATTATGCTCTCGCAACAGAGTATATAATTATCAGACTGTTTTTTGTTTGCATTCTGACCACAAGCATTGTGGTTAATGCAGACATGATTCCTTGTAAAAAGGTTTCAGTTTGGTGTTTTAACATCTGTTCTGTTGGCAGAAAGCTGGGGAAAACACTGTTATCATATTATATAACCTTGGGCACAAATAAACACTTTCACATTTGTGCACCCTCAATGTCGGTTGCCGCCGAGTCGGTTATAAATACTGGGCCACGAGGCGATTTACCCTTTGGCGGCCGTCAGCAATGCTTGCGTAGTCATAAAGTTGACTCTGTGGCCCGCATGTCAAAAGTGGAACCAGAGAAATGGATGCCCTGAGGGGGGGCCACCTGTCAGGTCTGAGGGGGGCCACCTGGCAGGTCTGAGGGGGCCACCTGTCAGGTCTGAGGGGGCCACCTGTCAGGTCTGAGGGGGGGCCACCTGGCAGGTCTGAGGGGGCCACCTGTCAGGTCTGAGGGGGCCACCTGTCAGGTCTGAGGGGGGGCCACTTGCCAGGTCTGAGGGGGCCACCTGGCAGGTCTGAGGGGGCCACCTGTCAGGTCTGAGGGGGGGCCACCTGGCAGGTCTGAGGGGGCCACCTGTCAGGTCTGAGGGGGCCACCTGTCAGGTCTGAGGGGGGGCCACTTGCCAGGTCTGAGGGGGCCACCTGGCAGGTCTGAGGGGGGGCCACCTGTCAGGTCTGAGGGGGCCACCTGGCAGGTCTGAGGGGGCCACCTGGCAGGTCTGAGGGGGGGCCACCTGTCAGGTCTGAGGGGGGGCCACCTGTCAGGTCTGAGGGGGGGCCACTTGCCAGGTCTGAGGGGGCCACCTGGCAGGTCTGAGGCCCGAGCCGCCACCGCTCTTCTCAGAGCCGTCGGTGCTTGGCGCCATCACGGACGTTGAGCGACCCTCTGCACCGCGTCCGTTTTCCTGATTTTTGCACCCTAAGAAGCGAGGGGTGTCACGAAAGTCGGCAATGACAAAGTAAATATGAGGCCGATAAAATGATTATTTTCCTAACCACGCGATTTAATAAATTATAACGATTTGGCAAAAAGGATGTATTCCAAGAATGTATTCATATTGGTTTTGTTTGTACCGTTTCGTTTGTAATTGTCTTCAACGTATATTTTTTCCTGTTACACTGAAGGTAACATTCAAATGTAATATGACCAGCATATGTTTTAAAGCAATATTTACAGATAATTTGATGTACGTTATCATGAGATAAATAACCTTATTAAATTCATGAATAGGTAATGAATAGGGAAAAATCATTTAGCCAAACGTTGCAAGGAGGTAAGTAAATGTATTTTAAAACGTGTTATTTAAGAGCCGTTTTTGTAACATCCTGGTGTTCGTTTACGCCGATGCCCTCGCCAGGGCCGCATCTACGTGGTGGGCGGCTACTCTTGGAACAGCCGCTGCATGGTGGAGATGGTGCAGCGCTACGACCCCGAGCGCGACGAGTGGCAGAAGGTGTTCGACCTCCCCGAGTCGCTGGGCGGCATCCGAGCGTGCACCCTCACCGTGCACCCCCCTCCGGACGACGACGCCCAGCACCCGGACGACGACGACCGCGGCGGCGGCGGCGGCGGCGGCGGCGGAGGAGGCGGCGGCGGCGGCGGCGGCGGCGGCGGCGGCAGCATCGGCGGCGGTAGCAGCGGCGGTAACGGCAGCGCGGGAGCCGGGGGAACGGGCGCCGGGATGGGAGACCCGCTCAACACGCCCTAACGCGGTGTGCGCCCGCTCATCGACGGGACGATGCGGCGAGCTGAGCGCGCGGCGCCGGCTCGGCACCGGCAGGGCCCCTTCCCCCGAGAGGTTTTGGGCATCCGAGGCGTTGCGCTGCCATCTCGGCGAGGGTCCCCCTCCCCCCCGCCCGCCCCCCCCCCCCCCCCCCCACCCCGTCCGATGGCTGTGCCCGAGTCAAAAGCAGCATCCTCAGTGACCGCACCCCGTCTCTCGAGCGGCCGTCGACGCTACGGAGGAAGCCGGCCGCCCTCTTAGCACTCGCTGCATCGTGCGGAGTCATGCAAACGCCTCCCCCCAACCCCCCAGCAGCACTGCCCGTCTCGCGTGTCGAGCGTCCTGATTGAATTTGCGGACACTGGCAAGCGGTGCCGTCCCCCCCCCTCCCCCCCCCTCGTCTCTTCTCACACCACACCTCTCGCTGCCGGCATGAAACTGCACTTACTTTTATATTGCCTGACAATGGGGTGGGTCGCCCCAATGCATTTCAGGTTCCAGGTTATTTTCTTTTTCAAATGCAGGACAAAGGGAAATTTATCCCATGGCCCCGTGGACGCTTCACCGAGCGTGTGATGCACTTGGGCGTCGCGCACTTACGGAGAGGAATTGGTTCTGCGCTGGCGCCCTATAAAAATAAAATGTCCAATTTTAGCCCCAACGAATGGTCATGTAAAATGCTTAGGTTGCTCTCGATTTCCATCCCGCGGGGGGCGACGCCACCATTAACATTTCAGCTTTTCATGCTGGCACCTATCTTTCATTCATTCATAATATCGGTGTCCCACTACATGTGCAAGACGCATACCTCGGCGCATTGCTGGAGGGACATGGAAGGCCGCCAGGTGACTGTGGTGGTCTCTGAGGAAGCAGTTTGGCATCCACCTTGTGAGCACTGGTGGACATATAGGGTCACTGCTATGGCTCAAGCCCGAGTGAACCTAGGCACGCATGGAATGCCTTTTGGCCCATTGAGAACTAATGCGACAAATTAATTGCAAAACTAAATACAACTCGCCACTTAGGGCGGGGGGGGGGGACCCCTTCTTTATCCCTTTTGGAAAAGTTTAACTTTGCTATACCACCACCTTCATCGGTTCATTGTTGGCAAATTGCACTGTTGAAAATGCTATAATGGTTAGTACATAATATGGTTTACTTGGACAAATCGATAATAAAATAATGCTTAAATCTTGGTTAATGTTTAAAGCTTTTGTCAAAGCCACGTGACTTAAAGATTTTGACGTGCAGATTTGCTGTTGGTATTATTTTTTTACAAAAATTTTTTGTTTCATATATACACGTCTCATTTTGACACGAGCTGCTAATTTGCAGCAGTCACACGGTGCTTGTAGAATTGGTGACAACCTGACCTTCACCAACAGCTGCACCGCAGACAACTTTGTGTTCAACTACCAGTGACTGATAAATTCTGCATTTACAAAATAATTGTACGGGGGCACGGTGGAGGAGGAAGTGGGGGGGGGGGGGGGGGGGGGGGGGTGCATTGAGTGCTCGAGGCTGCACTGACGGTCGCATTGCAGTTAAATTCCTGGCCACTCTTAAAATATTGTGATCACAATTTGGGGGGGTAAAATCATCGCAGGAGCACTTGGGGTCGTCCATTAGCCAGGAAGTCTCGATGCATCAAGTTCTGAGCCCTTACCGCCACAAAGCGTGAAAGACAGTCATCCGAGTTGCAGTGAGTGGCTATTGTCTGTGTTCACGGTGTCTAACAGCAGCGTACACGTTTCACATAGAGCAGGGGGGAGAGTATGCGAGTTGCAATTCAATGTTGTTATCTTGCCGATGTTGTTATCACCTGTTCCGTGTGTGAGGAGCCCAGGGCCAAGAGGTGTCACCTCTTCCCTCGGATGGTTGTTTTGCCAGTTGGAGTGTTATTGTGGTCCATCTATTGTCCATCGCTCGGGCGAGATGGAATTGGTTAGCTTCGTGATTACCACGCCGCTTCCCATAGAGGCAGCCCTCTCAGGAGTCTATTACAGCAGCGTGGTGCGAACGCGAGAGTCGATTACGTCTGGAATATCACAATCATAACAGGTTTACGTGATCGCTGGAGGGGACCACGTCCCGGTGGTTGAGACCAATGATGGAATGGCGACCAATGGGGCGAACGTGCCCGAGAGGGCCTCAATGGACGGGATGGAGCCAATTGATATCAGCTCCCTTGCAGGTAATAGATGGACTGTGACAGGCGGACGCAGGGCAGAGAGATTGGAACATCTTGGGCAGGTATCCATCCATGCGGTGGGTAGATCGTGGCTGGTGATGATGATGATAGTCGCTGTTATGCCAGGTCTACCTTGCGATAGAAATGATCTCAATAGCCTGATAACGTAATCACGATAAATACAATTCATACTTCTCACTGCATTGCTCTTTGGCCAATTGACAGGCTGCAAACATCAGAAATGTAACTTATTTTAAAGACATACATTATCTCTTGAGACATATTCCTTTTGGTTGCTTCGGTGTGTTAATTAAGCGAATTAAAGGATTGGCCGAACAAGCGTGCATAATTGAGTTAAATAAAGCTATGCGAGGCATCCTTGGACACGGCCTTGACCACCCACTGAGCAAGTCGAGTGTGGTGGGGTAAAGCGTGGGATCTCCCACCTCTTCCAGGATGTCTGGTGAGTGAGTACTGAAGAGTCGGCCGGCCCAAATGCCCTCCAGAGGGGCTGTTTAGAGCCACCCCTCAATTGGAGGCCCTTTCGCCAGCAGTGGTGTGAGCAAGAAATTTCATGGCTGAGCCTTTACCTTCACCTTTTACGTGAGATATGCCCAGTGGCTGAACTTTTGTCACATATTCAATTTGTTTCAAACTTTGAAGTACGTGCATAAATGCTCCAAGATGCCTGCGGAGCCCAACACTGTTCCAGTGCTGCACCGGTGTGTATAACGAATTCGTGTCGTGGTTTTCTGTTGCGACGGCACCTATTTGTGTTACCTCGTAAGCGACGGTGGTTGTCGTCGTTCCACATTGTGCACAAACTCAAACTTGTGTGCGGATGCCCATTTTTGTTATTTCAATTTTCTGCTTTCTTTACCGCAGGCCCTTAAAAAGGACTTGTCTCAGAATAGAGCATTGACACGTTTGAAGGCGGTGGTCACGTGTTAAAAATAGCGCACGTTTTTATTTTTAAGTGTTGTCCCTCATGGTTTCGTAATGTCTTATTTTACCACGTCCCCTTTGAAGAGTACAGGCTCCGTGTGTGTAATGGGATGTCCACGTTTTGTTGGTGTAAACTTTACTTTGGCATTTTTGAAGGAGAAGCGATGTTAGCATGCGATGAGAACAAAGACCCCGATACAATTCCGTTCCCCTTGTAAGAGATGCTGTAATTGTTCCGCAAAAAGGAAAGTGTCTCTCCTTTGACCTTACATGCCTTCTTTCTACGTTATCACTTGATTTTGCTGCTGTTGTTTTGCGCTTGGCAGAGTTTAACCGCTTTTGCCCGGAATTTTTTTTTTATGAAAAAAAAAGCAATTCGTTTACCGGTTACAAGAGCAGGTGGAAACAATTTGTTGAAAGTTTCTAAACAATTAACAACAACAAAAAAACCCATACGGTAGTTTAACTTGAGCACGTGTTCACATGACACCGCAAAAAAAATGGCCGCAGCTGTACGGAGTTTGAAGGACTGCTTTGACTTTCACAAGAACTCTTTATTCTTAGTTTTTTTTTTTAAAGCGCTCACTGCCTCCGGATGGAGGGGAATCGTGGATATTGCTCTCCCCCTTCCCCAAGCGATAACCCCGCACGGCAGCGTTTGCGCACGGCAGCGTGAAGTACGGGAGCACGGGGCGTTATTTTTAAACGCCTCGCGGTTTACTAGAAGGTCAGACACTGTGGGCGGCATGGATGAGAGCGGTCCCCCCCCCCCCCCCTTCTCCACAACCCCTCCATCAATTTTAGTATTTTTTTTCCTCCTCCCTCGTCTGAGAATAAGAACAAGCGTGCGCTCCAAAATGGTGATGAGCAAAAAAATACTGGCAACGGAACACATTCTTCGGTGAGAACTGATGTAACAAACATCACGGGACCCAGCAAGCTCGATGAGAGGCTAGATGTGCATTTGAAGCTTCACGGGATGCAACGACAAAGCCGCGTCTTCTGCGTCCGACAAGACTTCCGCAGGAGGAAGACGAACGATCGTCAAAGCCGCTCTCGTGCGAGGACGGGCGGACGGGGGGGGGGGGGGGGGTGTGGAGGACCTCCCTTAATGGTTTGCCGTAAAAAAAAAAAAAGATTCCCCGAACGCTGCTAAAAAGTGCCAGTGCCATTTTTATTTCGGTTTCCTATTTTCGTTGGCCTTTTTCTGACGCTCTCTCTTCAAGTTTCATTTGCCAAAATGATCTTCAGAAATAAGTGGCGGGTTGTATTAAAACGCGACGTGTCCGAGAGATTGACGCGGAGAGAGTTGCATCGCGCGCACCTTTGCAACGCAGCAATTCTGCATGTCCTAACATCGTTCATTTACGGACGACGGATGCCTGCGTGGTTTTTTTTTTGCGAATGCTTTTAATGAGGACGTTTGAAACGGGAGCCGCCGGATAAGACGACACGATGCGGCAGTGCGATGGGCAGATCGACCACCGCGATGGCATTACTCTTCCGCGGATGGCATCGAGGTCATATCGTGACGGTGCATGATGCGGTGCCAATGTGGCTCCTGCGATATAGATACCAAAATGGTTACTTGTCTCTGCCCCATTCGCTGCTGATACTGCGAACGGAGGCATCGTCAGGACCCTTGGTTGCAACCGTGAGTTGCGACCTAATGTATATTTTAAAAAAAAGTGCGACGAAGTACGTGCATTTCGCAGTTGGGACGTTTTTACCAACAGTGATATTACCAACAGTAAAATTCACCCATCGCGCAAATCAAATGTTGGGCAGAGAATCTCAAAACGGTATTTTGTCTACATCCAGCTACAACGGCACATGTACGTTCATTTCGTTATATCGTGGTGGAGGATTTCCGCTTGTAATTTGCTTCCACATGCTTGCAGGTGGCGGTGAAACAACCGCGTGTGGACACATATGGAGAGCCACGTCTGAACATGAGTTTTCAAAGCTCGTGAAGCCATGGGATCTTGCTGGCCTATTGTGTGCACATCAGAC